TGATACTGGTAGGCTGGGAAACAGGAGTGGAATGGAAATTTATCATTACACCCCTGTTCACACCTTTTGAATTTAATTCCATAAATTTATTACCATTCAAAAGATAAGACTCAATTTATAGTGAAAAAAATAGTTTGCCTCTTCCGCTGGGATAAAAATCTTCTGAATACAGACAGATCCAATAGAGAATAGCAATATTTCAGGAAGACCCCTAATATCTGAATGTACACACTCATGCAGCAACTGAGGAAGGGAAAAGAACTAATTTTCTTTTTCAAGTGCACGAAACGAGTTTAATCGCTTAACGTACATTATCTCATTGAATCTTTATAGTTATTTATAAGATATTATCATGTTCCTTTTACAAATGAGAAGGCTGAAACTTAAGAAAGTTAAGTGACTTGTTCGAAGTCATAAAGCAAATGAGTGGTGAAGACAGGCCTTGAAATCAGGTTTGGATGACTCCAAGCTATGCTGTTTTCTAAAAGATTTCTTACCTTCCATGCCAATGAGCAGCAGGTTGGATGTCAGCTGTCCCCAGCCACGCTTTCCCTGTTGCTTATTAATCCAGTTCCAGTTAAAACCCAAGAAGTCCATGACAATCTTCCTGCCCACGGTATCATTGAGTGTTTGCTGCAGATACAACCTATGTTCCCCGAGAAGAAGATCCCATTAGTGCACGTACACAGTCCCTTGGCATGGCCTCTCCACACCAGTAAACCCAAATGCACATCTGCACCTCCCACAGAGCAGCTGTAGTCATGCAAATCTTAACCAAGACAGAGTCTCCCAGAAATCAGAACAGAATCTTTGCCTATCCTTCTTGGAGCTCTGTTCAATACCAAACTTATATTTTAAAGAAGTGATTCTGGGGTGCCTGGGCGGCTCAGTTGGTTAAACGTCTGACTTTGGCTCAGGTCTGTGGGTTCAAGCCCCGCGTTGGGCTCTGTGATGATAGCTCAGAGCCTGGAGCCTGCTTCAGATTCTGTGTCTCCCTCTCTCTCTGCCCCTCCCCCACTTGCTCTCTGTTTCTCAAAATAAAGACATAGAAATTTTGTTTAATAAAAAATATAAAAAAAGAACTGATTTTTTTTTTTTTAAAGTAAGCTCTGTGCCCAATGTGAGGCTTGAACTCACAGGAGTTGCACACTGCCAACTGAGCCAGCTAGGAGCCCCTAAAGAAGTGACTCCTAACCCTTTATGGGTCACAGAATAAACCCAAGAATCCAAGGAATGTTTCCATAAAAATGCTCATACACACAGAATTGCATAGATTCCTCACAGTCTACTCATAAAGTCTAGAATGATTAATCAGCCTTGCTCCACAGACTCTCAAGGCTTGAGACATCCTCTTTGGCCCTCAATGGCCATTATGGTAAATCGTATTACTGTTCACCAAGAGCTAGTTCCCTCCCTGTGAAAGAGTTAATTCTTCTGTACTCATCTTGAAACAAGCTTGCTTATTTAACTTACTCTGACCAACTAAATGTTCACAAAATAACTTGTGTTGCTTCCAAACTGTAATCTGAAGAACAAGTACACACTACCACCACATCTCTTTCCCTGTGCAACAGCTACAAGGTTTCAGATAGTAGCTGCTGGGGCAATCTGGGTCCCAAAATGAAAACGATGTAAGAGCAGAACCTCCACATGACCTGTGATGGACATGCAGCATGACTATTGTTGTCATAAACCTAAATAAACCTTTGTTGTTTCAAGTCACTGACTCTGGGTTGAGCCCTAGTTTATCTTAACTGACTCAGTCACCTCTCTGTAGTAGCCTTCTACAGCTAAAGGCCTCATCAGGCTTTCTGCAGACCCAGGGCTCCTAATACATCGAGGAAGATCAGAAGTTACTTAAGGGATATGAAAACCCAGACACATTCAATCAAGCCCCACAAAAGATTAACAAAGGGGCAAACATGAAGACAAAACACAAAAGCAGCCCTGCCCTAGTCCTGAGACCACTACTTCAAAAGGCACATGGGACACCTGGGTGGCTCAGCGGATTAAGTGTCCAACTCTTGGTTTTGGCTCAGGACATGAGCTGCATGTCGGGCTCTGTGCTGAAAGTGCTCTACCCCTTTCACTGCCCTTCCCCCATGCTCTCTGTCTCTCTCAAAATAAATAAACTTAAAAAAAAAAAAAAAAAAAGGCCCAAAGGTTTCTCAGTACCTAGAACCAGGATGTTTAAGACAATATTAACTAGAAATCTTGACAAGCTGTAAACACTAGCTACCTTTTGGGGGACAAGGAACCCTTAAGTCTCAAATGTAACCTTTGGACTCTCCCCAAAGAAATACACATTCATACAAAAATTTTGCCAAGTACTTTGAAAGAGGCAGAACACTCACCAAATGTGAATCCAAAGAATTCCTATTATACCTGAATAGTAAATGGTCAAAAGAGCTTAAAGAGGAATCTCAGAATTCCTAGAACCATAACAACCTGAACAATTACACAATGGGTTTGGTTGGTGATAAAATCAGCTGCTACAGCAGAATTTGCACATAGGAAGAAATTTTCCTTGAATTATCGATAAAGTACAGACTACACTTATAACTCATACTTAGTTAGGCAAATGGCTCCTCCTAAGGGAAGTAAGAAACTTAAAAGTGATTGAGGAACCAGGATTCATGTGTCTAATCTCAAACTCCTTCCAGTACAAACATTCATTCAATGGAATTACACTTCAGCACCATTTAAGTCGACCTCTCTCCCTCTATGTCGGGGATATGTGTGGACGTATGCACACACACGTACATGCTGTGTTAAAGGTGAAGAAACTAATGCACAAGGTGATTCAGCTATGGCAATCTTTGTTAAGACATAAAGAACAGATCAATCGTAGTTGAGATCCTGGAAATGCTTTCTGGCTAAAGTTCTATCACTATGATAACTGCAAAGTATCAGGAAGGCAAAAAAAAAAAAAAAATTTCAAATCCATCACTCAGCCATATGCTGCTAACAGAGAGTCAGGAAAGAACTGAGGCAGAAGACTAAACAGAAACCCAGAGCTGGACACCAAGTGTGAGATGAAGATGGTCATTCACCATGACATACTTAATGACAGCAATTCCTAGAAACAATGTTATAGCATGGAACTGAATGCTGTCTGGGACCTACCTGAGAGGCTGTCCTCATATATAATAGAAAGAGAAAGAGTCACTTCTCTGTCTTGTGTCTGCTATCTCCAGTACAATATGAAAATCTGTATCAACCCCCACCCCCATTGAATCTAATCTAGAGGATCCTTATACCCTTCACCTCAGAATCATGATAATCTATAAAACTTTTCAGCTTTAACTGTACCCAGCCAGCCCAATATTTTAGGACACAGAATACAAACTGGCAATCTTAGGGCTAAATCCAACTGAATTGTTTTTGTTTGCCCCAACCTTCCCCTCCCCCATTAAAAAAAATTTGAATTAGGGGCACCTGGGTGGCTCAGTTGGTCAAGCATCTGACTCTTGGTTTCAGCTTAGGTCGTGATCTCATGGGTCGGGAGTCTGAGTCCTGCATTGGGCTCTGCACTAACAGCACGGAACCTGCTTGGGATTCTCTCTCTCACTCTCTCTGCCCCTCTCCCGCATGTGCAGGCATGCACTCTTTCTCTCTCCAAAAATACATAAACTTAATAAAAAAATTTTAATATAAAAAAACAAAAATTTGAATTAGTTTCCCACACTTAACAGTCAAAAAAAAAAAAGTTTAAGTAAAAATCCTGATTTCTGGCTTCTCTTGAAAAATGAAAGTATCTGGCAACCCTGAGATGGCACTCCCAAATGGAAACAAGAGTCAAGTAAAGACTTCTCACTAATGAACAGGGCATATGCATTCAACTTCACTGTAATTTTCACCTAAACAATTTCACTCACTTTGTTCAGCTATCTGACCCTTCCAGGCAACTGTGACTCCCACTTTGTAAAGACGACAAAGAACTTCAAAGTCCCAGTTCAAGTCTAATCAATTCTCTCATCTCGCAAGCTAGAGAACTTGTCCAATTCCTCTATATGCTCAAGCAACTACAAGAAAGGAAAGTGGATGCCCTAGAGTCCATGGGAAACTATGATCTGAGAACTTTACCTCTCTTCCCCTCCTTGCTGCTGTATATCCTGCAGTTTCTCAACAAACTCATGAAACTTCATTTCTTCCCTGTTGGACTTGGGCTTAAAGTTCTGGAAATTAGCCATCTTCTTCTCATCATAATACAAAAACTTGTGGGTGCTGGCACTGTACACAGAGAAGTCTCCGTTGCCAATGTTCTCCTGAAGATATTCTAGGTCCCATTTCAGAGCAGGATACACAAGATTTGTGTCTGTCAGCACCACAGGCTCCTAAGTGAAAAACCAAGTGAAAAAAACAAATGAAGTCAGCCCAAGGAGCTGGTAGATTCTTGTCTCATGACTCCAAAAACTTCCCAACTTAAGAATAATTTCTACCGTGAACAAGCACGAACCCTTTAAAGGCCCATGTCTCCTTGCCTCCCTCTCCATCTTCCCTTAGGCCCTAGGCGATAGCCCTGCCAGACCCCCACTTCTATCACCACTCACCTTTGACCTCTCCTCCCAACCTCGTCCCTTCCCCCTCCCCTTTCGGACGGGGCCCCGCCCCCTACCTCATTCTCGATAAGCTCCTCCGCCCGGGGGTCGCTCTGACTCAGACGCGGGATGGGCCGGGTCGGGAAGCTATAATTGCGCAGTTGGGACTCATCCCAGGCCGGGCCGAGGGCTTCGGCTTCTTCCCGAGGTTCCCCAGAGCCTGAGGCGGCAGCCTCAGCCGCTGTCGCCGCCATCTCCTTCTCTACAGACAGCCCCACCGGAACCGGAAGTTCCGCCTATTCCGGATAACTATAGCGGAAACCATAGAGATGAACTTCAAGAGAGAGCGGTCCAGAGTCACAAAGGACGCGGAACCAGGGCCTGGGGGAGCTCCTCCTAATGGTAACCTACAGCTCTACACCCTAAGCTCTGACCCTGAAGACTTGGGGCCCAGAGGTTAGACCTACTGAATAGGGGTGACCACCTGGTTACCCAATCCGTAAGATATTTCTGCGTCAATGTGCCCAGGCCTACACAAGAAGCAGAGAAAGAGGCCAGTTTAGTGGGGCTTTAAACTTTACAGTCATGGACAGGGAGAGATGCCAACATCTGACCTACCTAAGGAAGTCAGAAGGAAAAGTCAGATTGATAGATGTTGAGCAAAAGTTGCTCTGAAGGCCTCAACAAAAGATACATGGCAAGTTGAATTGTTTAAAATCAAAGATGGTTTTCTTTTGTTTAACATCATTTTATTCTGGTTATGTTACCATCTCTCCTACTTAAAGATTTTTTTAAAATTTTCTTTATTTATTTATTCATTTTAAAATTAATAACCCTTAAAGGGGTTGTGCTTGTTTACAGTAGAAATTATTCTGAAGTGGGGAAGTTTATTTATTTTGAGAGAGACAGAGAGAGAGCCCAAGCAGGGGAGGGGCAGAAAGGGAAGGGGATAGAGGATCTGAAGCAGGCTATGTGCCCACAGCAGAGAGCCTGAGGCAGGGCTCCAGCTCATGAACCATGAAATCATGACCTGAGCTGAAACCAAGAATTGGACACTTAACCAACTGAGCTACCCAGGAGCCCGTTTATTTATCTTTGAGAGAGAGAAAGAAAGAACAGAGGAGAGGGAGGGAGAGAATCCCAAGAAGTTCTGTGCTTACAATGTGGAGCCTGACATAGGGCTTGATCTCATGATAGTGAGATCATAACCTAAGCTAAAATCGAGTTGAATGCTTAACCAGCTGAGCCACCCAGGTGCCCCATTTAATGATGTTTCTGCCATGGAACCAAGGTTATTATTAATGGCCAACCATGAGCATCTCACATTTTCAAATTTGTATTGATTATAAAAAGTCTTATCACTTACTTCTATTGCTTAGTTAGATCATTTTTATGGCTGGCTCTGGGAGGTCAGATTCTAAGATGGATCCAAATATTTCTGCCCCATCATATACATGCCCTATAGGTCTCCCCTCTTGAATAAGAGCAGATATTATGAATATGGCAGGGTATCACTCCTTCAATGAGGTTATGTTATATAGCAGAAATGTAATTAAGGTTCCTAATCAGTTCACTGTGAGTTCATCAAGAGGGAGATTGACCCTGGGTGGGCCTGACTCAATAACTCTGACTCTTCCAATCTGGGTCTAGAGTCAGGGACAGAAACCAGAAAGATTTTGAAGCCAAAGAAGTTCTCTCCTGTTGGCTTTAAATGAACAAACTGCTTGTGGCAGAGGGTGGCATGTAGGTAGGTTCTAGCTCCTGATTGACAGCCAGCAAGAAAGCAGGGACCTTAGTTCTGCAAGTGTAAGGAACTGAATTCTGCCAATAACCACTGAGCTTGGAAAAAACCACAGAGCTTCAGATGAGGACAGCAGCCCCCACAAATACCTTAATTTCAGGTTGGTGAGACTCTGAACTGAGACACCAGCTGAACTGTGCCTGGACTTCTGACTCATAGAAAATGTGAGATAATTAATTGGTGTTGTTTGGGGCTGCTAAATTTATGGTAATTTGTTATGCAGCAAAAAAACCCCACCACCTAATACACTAGCTTAACTATGTAATTATGCTGTACAGTAACTATGCTACACCAAACTGATAATGGGGTTACCTCTATTGAGGGTTTAGGGTTGTGGGTGCCAACCAAAACTCTAGTTTTATCTGCAATATTTGTATTTTTACAAGAGTATATTAATATGTAAGCTTGGGAATTAAAAATAAATTAGATTAATAAGATTCAAATTACTAAAATCAAGAATGAAAGAAGGGTAATTACTACTGCACAAAAATTAAAAGGAGTACAAGGGAACACTATATACAATTGTATGCCAAAGAATTAGATAACCTGGGTGAAATGGACAAATTCATAGAAAGGTACATACTATCATAACTGATTTAAGAAGAAATAGAAAATCTGAATAGACTTACAACAAGTAAAGAGATTAAAACAGTAATTTAAAAAAAGTCCCACAAAGAAAAGCCCAGGACTAAATGGATTCACTGATTAATCCTAGCAAACATTTTAAAAAGTATTAACACCACTTTTTCACAAACTCTTCCAAAAATAGGACACTCCCCAACTCCGAGGAAAATATTATCCTGATACCAAAATGAGACAAAGATGTCACAAAAAGAAAGAATTACAGACTAGTATCCCTTATGAATGTAGATGTAAAAATCCCCAACAAAATACTAGGAAGCCAAATCCAGCATTATATTAAAAAGAATTAAATACCATGACCAAGTAAGATTTATTCCAGGAATGCAAGGTTAGTTCAACATCTGAAAAGTAACCATATTAATAGAAGGGAAAAAAAATCACATGATCATCTCAATAGACAGAGAAAGCTTTTGACAAATTCCAACACCTTTCAGGATTAAAAAATGGGTCTGAAATTGGGGCGCCTGGGTGGCTTAGTCGGTTAAGCGTCCGACTTTCGCTTAGGTCACGATCTCGCGGTTCGTGGGTTCGAGCCCCGCGTCGGGCTCTGTGCTGACTGCCAGCTCGGAGCCTGGAGCCTGTTTCAGTCTGTGACTCCCTCTCTCTCTGACCCTCCCCTGCTCACGCTGTCTCTCTCTCTNGAGCCTGGAGCCTGTTTCAGTCTGTGACTCCCTCTCTCTCTGACCCTCCCCTGCTCACGCTGTCTCTCTCTCTCTCTCCAAAAAAAAAAAAAAAAAAAAAAAAAAAAAAGGGCCTGAAATGACACCATCAAGAAAGTAAATAGACAATCCATAGAATGGGAGAAAATATTTACAAATCATACAGCTGATAAGTGACTTGTCCCTAGAGTTCATAGAGATTTCTTACAACTCAGCAATAATAAGTCAACCCAATTAAGAAACGGATGAAAGACTTGAATAGACATTTCTCCAAAGATATACAATGGCCAATAAGCACATCAAAAGATGTTCAACATCTTTAGTCATCAGGGGGATGCAAATCAAAACCACAATGAAATAACATTCATGGCCACTAGAATGACTATAATAGAAAGGAAAGTAACAAGTGTTGGTGAGAATGTGGAACACATATGCTCCTAGTGGGAATGTAAAGTGGTACAGCTTCTTTGAAAAATAGTTTTGCAGTTCTGCAGAAAGCTAAACATAGAGTTATCCTATGATCTGGCATTTCTCCCCACCCCCTTAAATCCAGCCATTCTACTGCTAGGTATATACCAAAGAGAATTGAAAACATACAACCACACAAAAACTTGTACAGGAATGTTCACAGCAGCATTATTCATAATAATCCCAAAGTGAAAATAACCCCAACGTTTATCAACTGACCACTGTGTAAACAAAAACTGTATCTATATAACAAAATATTATTTGGTCACAAAAAGGAATGAAGAACTGACACATGCTACAACATGACAAACTTTGGTTATTCTAAGTGAAGTAAGTCAGACACAAAAGGTTACATATTGCATGATACCATTTATATGAAATGTCCAGAATAGACAAATCCAAAGACAATAGATTAGTGTTGCCAGGGGGTGGGGGTAGGGGGAATACACTATTAGGAACAGAGTTTCTCTTGGGGTTAATGAAAACGATTTACAATTAGTGGTGATAATTGCTCGACTTTGTAAATATACCAAAAATCACTTTATTGTACACTTTAAAGGGATGACTTTTATGGTATGTGAATTATATCATGATAAAAATAATTAAATAAATCAGAACAGCTCTGTTTCTGGACCCAAATCAGATCAGGGCTTGCTACTGAATGAATGCAGATATTGTACAATTATTTCGAACATCAACTAGTGATACTCATTTACAAGTGGGCAAGTTGCTAGGAATTAGTCCTCCCTCAAAGTTATACGCCAAATCGTACATATAATTTTTATTGCCGTAATATATATTTGAGAATGTCTATAATAATGGATTCTGCTCCAAAACAGTGATCACCCCAAAAGTTGCTGGAGATATGTGCACATTTATATTGTGTAAATGATAAAAATCCCATCTGTGTAAAAGTGAGGACATATACATATGCAAACATGATAATATCTCCCCATTCTTCTGTTAAGCTAGTGTTTGTGACTGTGGTCCGGCTGGAAATCTATTTATACAAGTCCTAGCCAATCTGAGGTTTTAGCCAGTCTGGGAAGAGCTGTTTCTGGTGCTAGGATTGGTTTTACATTTGTTGGATTGAGGTGACTGGGACATTCAAGTGTAAACACGAAGTAAAACTAAGGAGCGAATTTGGGGCCGATTTGTGTGTTGCACCTTGCCTGTACGTGCAAGATCGCCCAATTTGCAAAACAGAGCAAGAAAACGGAAGACGAAGAGCTGAATCTGAAGAATGATCGCGTTTTGGGATGAAAGGAGGACGCGCCAGTAAAGGAGAGGAAAAGGGCAAGCAGAGAAGAAATTAAGGCAGGCTCTTTTGACTTGAAGGGAGGGGTAGGTTAGCTGTCCACCTGAGATGCTCAGGTTGAGTCTCCATTATCCCTGTAAGCGTCTAAGCCAGCTGACGGAGAAAGGGACACAAGAATACGAAATATCAAAGCAGTGACTTAATTCATTTTCTCTGCTTCTCGCTTTCTCTCGGTCTCTATCCATCCGGTCATCTACCCTGTGGCTTCCCAGCACAGTTTAAGCCCCGCCCTTGTTGAGCCCTTAGGACTTTCCTTCACTGCAGTCTTCCCTCGTCGCGTTTGACCCGGCTCAGCCGCCGTGACAAAGCCTTTGCGCATGTGCAGGGTGAAACTGGAGGAAGGTGAAGATGGCGGCGGCCAGGGCGCGGGTCCTGGGAGTCCGATGGCTGCAAAGGGCAGCCCGGACCGCGGTGCCGTTGGGTGCACGGACAGGTCCGCTAGAACGGGCGAAGCCTCAATGTGGGAAGGGGATGCCTGAGGCTTAGTGTGTCGAGAGGTGGGTGGGTATCGCGGATACTGCAGTGGCCGTGTCCGGCGAGGGGGCGGAGGTATATCCAGAGAAAGGGGGCAAGAATCTCACCTGGTCCTTTGAAGTCCGGGCAGCCGCAACCACCGCAGCTTGAAGCCTCCAGGGCGCCAGGAGGGATAAGGTCTTTTCTGACTTCCCCCCTTTCTGCTCCCCAGCTTCGCACATTACCAAGGACATGCTCCCAGGGCCCTATCCCAGGACCCCAGAAGAACGGGCCGCCGCCGCCAAGAAGTATAACATGAGAGTAGAAGACTACCAACCGTACCCGGATGATGGCATGGGGTGAGATGCAGAGTCTGCTGGCAGCCGGGTAGTGATGGGAGATGGCCAGCTGGGTTGGGTGGCTCGACTCTGACCATTTTCCCTGAACCTTCTCGTGATCCCTCAGAGTCAATAATGTGGGTGCTTTTCTCGGTGGCGGGAGGTAGGAGGTGATGGGTGAGCAGCTGCAGCCTAAAGGACTTCAATTTTCTCCTTGGCTCAGGCTGTTTCCTCAAATGAGGAAGCCGGGATTTTAATAGCTCCCTCGAGGACCCCTGAATAGCAGGAACTTTCCTTGGCTTCACCCAGAGCGCAAGGTTTCATTTAGATTGAGCATCTGCTGGGCTCAGGTGCTGTCCTGCAGGCACGTGATCAGGCTGGAGCTGGACTCCTGTCTTGAGAGCCTTATTTGTAGATGGGAGTACTCTATATTGTGTGTTTATCTTTCTTTAAAAAAAGATATATTTTGGGGCACCTGGGTGGCTTAGTCGGTTAAGCGTCCGACTTTCGCTTAGGTCATGATCTCGCGGTTCGTGGGTTCGAGCCCCGCGTCGGGCTCTGTGCTGACTGCCAGCTCAGAGCCTGGAGCCTGTTTCAGTCTGTGACTCCCTCTCTCTCTGACCCTCCCCTGCTCCGCTGTCTCTCTCTCTCTCTCTCCTATAAATAAATAAAANCTCTCTCTCCTAGAAATAAATAAAACATTTAAAAAAAAAAATTAAAAAAAAAAATTAAAAAAAAAAAAAGATATATTTGCTGTTAGGGCTGTGGAAATTGTAGTAACTGTCAAGCGGATTAAACAGCCAGCTCCCTACACCAATCTATCCCCCCCTTTACATAACATCTCCATGGTTAATTATCGGGAGTGATTACCATGACCCTCATTTTCTCTCTTAGCATCACTCTTTCAATAGTGGTTTTCGCAGCTCCTATTCTCCTTGTTTTCCAATCATTTTCTGTGACACATGACTAGTTGTCATCATTTCCTATGTCTCTTATTTTGTTGTTGACAAGAGTAGCCTTGGTAGCAGTCTGTATAAGCTGAAACTGGATTTGTTGGGGAAAAACCCAGCTTAACAGGAAGTCCCATGAGGTGTTTGAGACATGGAGATGGATGCTAACTTGGGTGGTTGGGGAGCACAGTTGCTATGAAGAGGATGCTTCTCTAATCTGTATCCCTTTTGTTTGTATTCCAATTAGCTGGATGACCTTGGGTTCAAACTAAACTACAGTTTTATTTTCTGTCTAATGAGGGAATCAGAGTGATGGATTGCTAAATTCCCTTCCAGTTCTGACATAACATTGTATGACTTTTTGTTGTTGAAAGAGGGGGACAAGCATATATGTTATAAATGTTGCAGAGTTTGACAAGGGGCGCCTGGGTGGCTCAGTTGTTGAGTCTGACTTGGTTTCTGCTCAGGTCATAATCTCATGGTTTGTGGGTTCAAGCCCGCACCAGGGTGGGGGCAAAGGAGGATTCTACCTGGGATTCTCTCTCCCTGTCTCTCTGCCTCTCCTTCACTTGTGCACTCTCAGATAAATAAACTTTAAAAAAATAAAATAAAAACCAGAGTTTGACATGAACTTTTATTTACGCTTTGGACTTCTGTGGTTAGTTCTGTGCTTAGTGACTATAAATTGAGATCTTGATTTGAAAGTGGTTTCCTCTGTCCTTAGTTGAGGCAATTATTTCTGTCACTTGGGTTCTCATCTCTAACATGAGGGGACTGAGTTTTCTGAGTGAGGCTGCTCAGAGCCCCTTCCAGAAGTTTTTCTGTCTCTCCAGGTATGGAGACTACCCGAAACTCCCTGACCGCTCACAGCAGGAGAGGGATCCATGGTATGACTGGGACCATCAAGACTTGAGGTTGAACTGGGGTGAGCCGGTAAGAAATCCATATCCCATTTGACCTTTCTTTCTTCTCCCTAAATCTTCCTGAGGATTCTTTCTTTAGTTTAAATGGCACGTTGCTGTCTAAGTAACATCAAGGCTTTCTGTCCAAGGAAGCAAGGTCCGGTGATCTGAGACCTGAGGCTCCGTGTGTGGTACGTGGAATGTGATGTCTGGAAATAATCAGAACTCTGTACTTTGAAAATTGTGAACTTCCATAATTGAGCTATCTTTAGTCAGCAGAACCTTGATCTAAGCCTATACATCTAGTCCTATATGCTAGAGTAGCTCACACTTGACTCTCAGAATATTGTCCTGGGTAAGAGAATGCCTTTATTGGACCTTGTATCAGGCTCTAATCACCCTTTTGCAGACTGCCTGCCTTTTGCAGGAAGAGCAGTATGTGGTATTTATCTGCTTTCTGCCTCAGGTACACTGGGACCTTGACATGTATATCAGAAACCGTGTGGACACATCCCCTACACCTGTTTCCTGGAATCTCATGTGTAAGCACCTCTTCGGCTTCGTGGCCTTCATGGTGTTCATGTTTTGGGTTGGGGAGACTTACCCCACCTACCAGCCTGTGGTGAGTATCTGAGAAGTGCTCCCATAGGCACATTTACTTAGCCCTGTTTCCTGAGGGAATGAAGTCTCTAGAGTTGGGATCCAGCCAATACCACACCTGCCTTCCTGGGAAGGCCTGTAGAGGGGCTTACTCACTGGCCTGGCACGAGTATGAGAGCACTGCTCCATGCCCATGTCTTGGGTCAGTCTAAGTGAGAAGAATCCATTTAGGACTAGGTGAGGAATGAGAACGTGGAAGTTTTCTATAGTTTTGTATAAATGTTTATTTATTTTGAGAGAGAAATTTATTTATATTGGGGGAGGGGTAGAGAGAGAGGAGAGAGAGAATCCGAAGCAGGCTCTGTGCTTTCAGTACAGAGCCCGACACAAGGCTCGATCTCACAAACCATGAGATCATGACCTGAGCCAAAACCAAGAGTCAGACATTCAATTGACTGAGCCACCCAGGCACCCCTCATCTAGTCTTCGAGTTTCCATTTGGGGGCTATACTCACAATTATATTTTAGCAAGTGATTTTTCAAGGTAGAGTCAAGGAATCTAGAGCTGAAACCTTATCCTCTGCTGGAGGCGTGAAGGGCAATTCCCATAGAGTACTGGAAGCAGTTGAATAGATACTACACATAGACCATTTTATTTTGGGGAATGTAAAGGGCACAGAAACTATGCTCTCTAGCTTTATGGGAGTTTAATCTGGATGAGCAAATAATGAGCAGCATTTGAACAGAGATATAGGAATTTGGCAGTTTTAGTGTATATATGTAAATAGTGAATGTATGTGTTACATGGTGTGAGGTGCTGTTAAAAAGAAGGATCGTGTTAGATACTAAAAATATGTATAGACTTTGGATGGTGGGGAGAAGTTGGAGAGAACATTTGGAGCAAGACAAAATAGAATGAAGGAAGGAAAAGGAAAGTGAGTTAGCTGGAATGGAATAGGCAGATAAAATATTCCTGGATAACCAACTGTATTGGTTACCTAGAAAGCTGCTAAAAATTCAGATTCCTGGAGAGCCTAGTTCAGTAGCTCCACAGTGGAGTTCTAAAATCAATATTTAACAAGTTCCCAGGTAATTCTGATGAAATGGGAAATGAGGTGTGAAAATTGCCATGTTAAAAAAAATACTGTGAGGTGAGGTGATCAGTTAGGTTGGGATGCTTTTATTGCATGGCTAGGGATTTGGGCTTAGTCACATAGTAAGACACTAATGCAACAAATATTTGTGAAGACCCTTCTATGTTCCATGTACAGATTGTGCTAGGGGTTGGGGACCCAGTGATGACTTGGACTTCCTCTAGACAGCACCGAACTGTGTTGAGTTTTTGAGCATAAAAGTGACATAATCTAATGAAGGCTAGGATTTTAGGATGATTGATCTGGGAGTACTCTACAGGGTAGATTGTATGGGAAGGAACTGAAAACAGAAAGACTGTCATGTTTGCAGTTGGCTGCTCGGTGCTACCTCTGCAGAGATCATCAGTGTCCTGATGGTAGCTGGTGTGTCTGTGTGCACTGACACGAGCCTTCCTACCAAGCCCCAGGGGCTCCAGGCTGGAGAGTGCACGTAGGGCTGGTGTGAGCACTAACTTCTCTTCAGGAGAGCAAGAAACACAGTGTGGCTCTTCCATTTTTCAGTTCTGTAAGCACATCACCCTTTTCTCCTCCCCTTGAGCCATGTTCCCTGACAGCTGTTTGTTGGTAAAGCCAGCAGCCCCTAAAGCATGTCCCAGCCGTGTCTCCTCTGTGCTTTCCCCCACCGCTGCTCCTGCACGCCTCATTTGCTAGGCCACTTTAGTGGTGGAACCATTAGAGGCTGAGTGACTTAAAGGAGATTGAGTCTGTCTCGACCCCAGGAGAGAGTGGGATGGATGGATGCATCGTCTCATTTAGAAAGCACTCTCCCTCCCTCCCTCCTTCTCTCTCTCCCCCCTCTCCCCTTCTCCCCCTTTCCCTCTCCCTCCCTCTCTCTCTCTCTCTCTCTCTCTCTCTCTCTCACACACACACACACACACACACACACACACAGAGTGTAGACACCACCTCTTTTACAATCTAGGCTTTCTCTCTGCCTTGGGCTGAGTAGTGAAGAGGAGCAGTGTTCCTGCTGTTCTAGCCCAGCTGGGTCCGTCCAGAGGCTACCTTGTACCCACTTACCATGTGTGATTGTTAACTCAGAGTGGGGTGTAGCCAGGTATTGGCTGGATGCACGCTATCTTGCTGACCTGTGTTTTTTCCTTAGGGGCCGAAGCAGTATCCTTATAACAATCTGTACCTGGAAAGAGGCGGCGATCCCACCAAAGAGCCTGAGCCTGTGGTTCATTATGAGATCTGAGACGGCGTCATCAGCTTTGTGTCCCCTAACTGACTGCCTCATTTCTAGAGATTTAACCGTAATGAAATCCCTAATAAAACTTAGTGCTGTGGTATCTGTGCCTCATTTCCCCAGGAACAGCCACTGCCGTGAGGACCTCATCCTTTTCCTTTTTTTTTCTGCCTGCTATCTGCTCCCACCCCCTACCCACTCTGAGATTAGAAAGATGGGAGGGTGGGGGGAGTTAAGCACAAGAAAATGGTACTTTGTTAATTTTGCTGGGGCTGTGAAGGTATTCGAGGGTTTCAGTTGTGCAGCAGGTGGTAAGGGTAGTTCCTTTTCCCATTTACAGGGTTGAAGAAACAGGAAGATACATATGTTCCTGACTTCCCAAGTTGGAACAAGATATATTTTCTGTAAGAAACCTTTTTATAATGGTTAGGTTTTTTATTTTTAAGTGCACTTAAAAAAATTTTTTTTAAGTTTATTTATTTTGACAGAGAGACAGCATGAATGGGGGAAGGGCAGCTAGAGAGGGAGAGAGAGAATCCCAAACAGGCTCTGTGCTGCCAGCACGATGTGGGGCTCAAACCTGCGAAGCTGTGAGATCATGACCTGAGCCAAAACCAAGAGCTGGACGCTTAACCGACTGAGCCACCCAGGTGCCCCAAAAAGTGTACTTTAACATGTTTCAAGTATATTATAGAATAAATAGGTGTTTTTGGACTCACTTGAGGCTGTGACTGTCTCTAATGTCATTTCTGTTGTAAGAGTACACACAAGTATTCCTTGTTCCAATTCAACCTCTGAATCCTATGTTTATGAATTCGAGGGTAGTTCAGTTGAGTTATTCTGAACCTATGCATGGCTTTTGCTCCTGTTTTTGAGAGTCTATCTCAATGCATCTGTTAAGTGAACCAACTTATTTTCTTTTTTGTCCCTTTGGAGACATTTTCTTAATACATTACCTGAAAACCTGTCCCATAAAGAACAACAACAACAACAACATTTTAGTATGACCTGTGAAAGCACGTCCATCCAAGTTATGGGACCTTTATTGGTTTTCCAGGAAGTGAAAGACTTTTTTTTTAATAAAGTTTTTTTTTTTTTTTTTAATGTTTATTTTTGAGAGAGAGAGAGAGAGAGCATAAGCAGGGCAGGAGCAGGAAGAGAGAGTATTCAAAGCAGGCTCCAGGTTCTGTGCTGTCAGTGCAGAGCCCAACAGGGGGTTTGAACTCAGGAATTGCAAGATCATGACCTGAGCCAAAGTTGGATGCTTAACTGACTGAGCCACCCAGGTGCCCCTAAAGAGACTTTTATGAGACCAGAGAATGGGTACTTATAATAAAATGCCTCTACTTGAGGGTGTCCACTGGGTTTTTATCTGTATTCTGTCCTCTGTTGCCTTTGGTAATATATGTAACAAATGTGTGTATAACACATATATCAGAGACTGATAGGCTCTGGGGATATAAAATTAAACAGGACAAAATAACTGCCTTCAAGTATAGAAGCTAAGACTGGCAGTTAGAAAACAGTGAATAGAATTAAGAGCTGAGTAAGTTGAGAGCTAGTGCACTCTTTATTTTTTAAAATTCTGTCCTGCTTGCAACGGTGATCTACTTTTGGTTCAAATTTTTCAGAGCACCCCCATCAATGACGCTTTTGTCTCATTCCCTAATTCAAGGTGTCTAAGCTTCAGTTTTCCACCCTGAAAACTTGCCCTCAGGTTTCATACACTGTTGAGGTACTAACATGTTCAAGAAATACTTAGTAGACACACACAGTGGGCAGGCACAGACAATGCCCTAAATTGTCTAACATCTGGACTTCAAACCCTCTAATCCCCACAAAAAGGAAATCCAGGCTTGTATCACAGTGACTTGGGGCTCCATTGTAAAATAACGGAACTGTCTCACCATCTTTGGAGGCAAATACAGGAGTTTCTGCATTAAACTAAAGTTTTGAATCAAATAACAGGTCGAAGATCTTCAGCTGCTGATAGAACCTTTTTATTTGGAAATGCCATAATTCCCTCAGTCAACATAAAAAGTCCATCTGATTTTTTTCACCTCCCTCTTCAGCTCTTTACCTTTATCAGTCACAAGATCCTGTCGAGTTTTCCTTTACGATCATTGCTCCTATATTAATCCAGGCTTTCATCACTTGGTACCTGGACTGTTCTATTAGTCTTCTAATTTGAGTCCCTGCCTTCAGCTCTGGTCCCTCTCTAAGGGGATCCGTATTGTTTGTCTCAAAATACAATCTTCATCTTATTGCATCCCTACCCTTAATTTTAACTAACTCCCATTTACCTGCAGAGTTGAATTGGTATTCCTAATCTGTTTCCCACCTCTTTCATTCATGGTATGGGAAATGCCAGGGCACCTACCAGCCAGTCGGGCCCTTCCTCCTCTCTGAGACACCACCTATCTTGCACCTGCAAGGTATGACATCGGACTTCCGTCCCTGAAATCTCCAGGAAGCCCCTGGCCTACAGTACCTAGGCTTCTGCATGCCTATAGCCCTTAATTCGTTTAGACAAAAGCTTTTGCGCATGTTGTTGCTGGTTTGTAGTGTGTCACCGCTGTTCATGGGCTCGATTACTATTTGCTTTTTCAATTAGGATTCCACTGAGAGCTTCTGGAACTAGTTAGTACCAGGTCTTCACCAATATAACAAATACTGAGTTAGTATTTTCCCTTTTCAGGAGCTGTTCCCGGAGGCTGGCTCTAACTGAATAGGCCGGAACTTAGTGGTCGCAGGCTCTGACCCTCTGCGGCAGAACCGCGCCATCACAGGCCAGTGAGGGAGCCCGAAGAGCCAGAATCCTCTGTCTTCCTCTCCGCAGGTAGGCCGGCCGCTCTAGTCCGCGCTTCGCGGCGCGTGCGGACTGCAGGGCCCGGCCGCCAGGACTACTTTTGGCCTTCAGCAGCCGCCGTCCGCGGCGCCCAGCCGAGCCCCAAGGCCCTCAGAGGAGACCGGCCCTGGCTGCGCCGCGCTACCGCGACGCGGGCTCTCAGCGCAGGTGGGTGTTTCCCGCCTCTCTGGGGCCCCGAGCGCCGCTCCACTCTAGGGAGAGCGCCCGGGGAACCTCGTCCCCCGCGGAGACCCCGGCCCGCTCCCGCCCTCGGATTGGACCCGACTCCGCTCTCCCGGCCCCGCCGGGGTGCTGCGGCCCCACGAGGGTCACCCTTCAGTGCCGCCCTCGCGCCTCCCAGTGCGCCCTGGACCCCGGGCCCGGCCTGGCCTGCAGCGAAGCTGTACGCGCCGCCCCCGCAGGGCCCCGGGTGCCGAGGGTCGCTGGCGCCCTCCATTGCTGCGGGAGTCTGTTCGGCTCTCGGTTGAGTGGAGATGAACAGCCCACCTTCCCAGTTTCTAGACCGTCGGGGATTTAACACCTCATCTGGAGTTGAGTTTGAACTAATATAATGGTTAAAAGCACCCAGGTATGGAGGCTGATTGGGGTTCATATCTCAGCCCAGCCAGTTTTCTTTCCCGTGAAATGTATGTAATAATAGTACTCGCCGCATAGAACCAATGTGAGAATTGAGATTTGCCCGTCAAATGCGCCGTGCTGAACGCGGCTCCTACTTTTGTCCAGGGCTCTCCCCAGAAACGGGAAAACGGCTTTGACCAGCAGGTGGCAGTGGTGACTGTATAATAGGATGTGCGGCGAGTCCCGTTAGTTACCTGGTGTTACCTCAAGTGTTTAGAGGCCCCAAGAATCTTGGCTGAATTGGCAGCTTTAAACTTTCTTCAGGCTGGAAAGTGTGTTAGAGATTGAGTAATACTCACCTACTATTTTTGTAGGTTGAGACTTACCTGAGGTGGTTTCCTAAAGCAGTTCACAATGGGTCCTAAGTTTCCTCCCTCAAGTTCAGTGTTACATTAAAAACAGACAAAGCAAAACAAAACGCCTCTCTGTCACTTTGCTAGCCTGGTGGGATGGCACCTTGAACATGTGTTAGAATTGTATTGGAAACCACAGAATTAACATGGATGTCTACATTCATTAAACAAATGTTATCGAGCACTTTATTATATACCCTAGATGTTCTGGCACTAGTTAGTTATAACATGGTGAACAAAAACACAGTACAAGCTCTCCTGTACAATAAGTATCTCCAATACTTATTGGTGGTTGAGATCAGCAATGTAAATATTAAGAAACATAATGAGAAGTTGCCAAGGAGAAAAAAAAATTGAGTCTGATTTTGGTTGGGTGGCTCACCTCTCTGAAGGGGCGAGAAGCTTAGCCCAGAAAGATGTGATAAGGAGCCAGTCCTGCAGAGAATGAAAGGAAGAACATTCAAAGTATAGGAAACAGAATTTACAAAAGGTCAGGTAGTAAAAAGCCAGGAAATGAATAAACAAAAGGGCTAATGTGGCTGCAGCACAATGAAGAAAGGGGGAAAGTAGCCAGGTATGAGGTTGAAGCGGTAGGCTGGAGACTTTAAGCAGTGTCACAAGGGATTTGAGTGCAGTTTTGTTTTGAGTGCTATAGAAGTCATTGGAAGATTTTAAGCATGGAATGCCAAAATTCCATTTTTTAAAAAATTTTAAAAGTTCACTTCTGCTGCTAGGTAGAGAGTTAATTGGGTGATTGTAGAATAAAGATAGCCATTTGGAAGTTTATTGCGGTAATGCAGGTGAGAAATGACGGTGTCTTCAAATAGAGGGGTGGTGGTGGAGATAGAGAAAAGTAAACAGATTAAGATACATTTTGGAAGTGAAATCAGGAAGACTTAATGATGAATTAGAAGGGGATAAAGGAGAAGAAAGAATCGAGTGTGACCTTCAGTTTCCCAGGTTGAGCAATTGGGTGGATAGTAGTATCATTTACTGAGATAAAGAAAACTGGAGAAAGAACAGATTTGGGGGAATTAGGTGGTAGAATAGAAAACTCCATTTTAGACAGGCTAACTTAGGTATCTTTGCTATATCCACATGAAAATGTTTGATGAACAGTTACATACAAGAACTAGAGCTCAGGGGAGAAATTAGTGTTGGTGATATGAATTTGGGAGTCATCTGCATATGGATGATATATAAAGCCAAGGGAATGGATAAGGTCACTGAGAGATTATCTGATTTAATGGTTATCGTCACCAT